CGTCCATTTGTTGTTCACACATGCAAACTGATGAAATCATTAAAATCTGTAATTGTTTAAGATTTGTCTTGTATGCAGGTTAAGTGCAAGAAAAGCTCATCTTCAAAACATTAGGTGTAGGTTGACAAGTATTCATACAAATTGGTCTGAAGGTGGTATTTGCTACTACAAGCTAAAAGACAGGTATACTAGACTAAGCTACTTTTAACTCACATGACCCAGTGTGACACACGGGCTAATCTTTCTGTATTTCTGCATAACTAAATGTATCCGTCGGTACCAAGGAAATCGCCCCTGACGAAAGCAATGATATCCAAAACTCGGAACTCGTTCACAACTACACAATTTATCGCTGTGATAGGAATGCAAACACCAGCTGTTTTCTGCGTGGAGGTGGAGTATTGATTGGTGTGAGAAATGGGTTGCAGAGCACGTCTGTTAGTGTTGTTGAATGTGAACAACTAGAGCAAATCATCGTTCGGATTACGTTGCCGAATTTTGAGTTGTTTGTTTGCGTTATTTACCTCCCACCAAACAGTGCCACGAATCTGTACGAACAACATTTCTCGATAACTTTTTCAAAGGGACGTATCAGCTTTTGTAAACAATGCATTTGATCGTCGATTTGGCGTAACTGGTAGCTCGCACACGCTTACTAACACCACTAGCAGGTAGAGGAAAATTTCCCCTATCTGATGGTAGTGTTAGCATGCGTGGGCGAGCTACCAGTTACGCCAAATCGACGATCAAATGCATTGTTTACAAAAGCTGATACGTCCCTTTGAAAAAGTTATCGAGATTTTGCTTGTGTACAAAATCTACTCGATCTTGCCCGTGATCACGGTCGTGTATTGGTTGTTGGCGATTACAATCTCCCACACTTGTGTTGGATGCACGTTCGTCTGAGCAAGAGATAGCCCTAATAGAGTCCGTTGTAGGCTGCGGACTTTATCAAGTTAATGATTTGACGAACGTAAATGGGAGGCTTCTCGATCTGGCTTTCATCAATGAGGATAAGTGTGCTCAGGTACTGGAACCACCGTTGTCATTGCTGAAAATTGATCATCATCACAAGCCCTTCGTGTTAAAATTTAAAACCACCAGAAAGTGCGATAGCATGAATGCATCGGACCCCTTCAACTTTGATTTCAACCAATAAAGAAAAGATCAAAAACGATCCTAAATCGTTCTGGTCGTTCATTAGAAGTCGAAAGCAGACGGATGCAATTCCTCAGCATGTTTTTTATAACGAGTTTACGGCCGAAACCCCGCTTGATTCGGCAAATTTGTTCTCATCATTCTTTCGGGGTGTGCTAAGTAATAAAGGGTGATACGGTCAAAATTTGGTCAATATCAACTTGACGTATTTCTTTCAATTTTGCATTTAAAAAACCTGAACACCCCTCATTTTGAAGGTGTGTGTGTGTAGAATGTTGCTCCTATTTTGATTTTGGAATTCACTCTTCAGTTGTCAAAATGCCGTCCAAGCAAGAAGAGCAGCGTATCAAAATTTTGCTCGCGCATCGCGAAAATCTGAGCTACTCGCACGCAAAGTTGGCAAAATCGCTAAAAGTTGCCAAATCAACTGTTACAAATGTAATTAAAGTGTTTGGGGAACGTTTGTCGACAGCCAGGAAGTCTGGATCGGGGGGAAATCGAAAACCGGAAGCCGCTGAGACGACAAAGAGAGTTGCCGGTAGTTTCAAGCGAAACCCTAACCTCTCTCTCCGAGATGCCGCAAATAAGCTGGGTGTATCGTCTACAACCGTGCATCGAGCCAAAAAACGAGCCGGACTATCGACTTACAAGAAGGTAGTGACTCCAAATCGCGATGATAAACAAAATACGACGGCCAAAGCGCGATCCCGGAGGCTGTACACGACGATGCTGACGAAGTTTGACTGCGTGGTAATGGACGACGAAACCTACGTCAAAGCCGACTACAAGCAGCTTCCGGGACAGGAGTTTTATACGGCAAAAGGAAGGGGAAAGGTAGCAAATGTTTTCAAGCACATGAAACTGTCAAAGTTCGCAAAGAAATATCTGGTTTGGCAAGCCATCTGTACCTGTGGCTTGAAAAGCAGCATTTTCATAGCTTCCGGGACTGTCAACCAAGAAATTTACGTGAAAGAGTGTTTGAATAAACGTCTGCTGCCTTTCCTGAAGAAACACGGTTGTTCCGTACTGTTTTGGCTGGATTTGGCATCTTGCCATTACGGTAAAAAGGCCATGGAGTGGTACGCCGCCAACAACGTGCAGGTGGTTCCCAAGGACAAGAACCCTCCCAACACACCAGAGCTCCGCCCAATTGAGAAATACTGGGCTATTGTCAAGCGGAACCTAAAGAAGACCAAAAAAACTGCTAAGGGCGAGCAGCAGTTCAAGGCAAACTGGCTTTCTGCGGCGAAGAAGGTGGACAAGGTGGCTGTACAAAATCTGATGGCAGGGGTCAAGCGTAAGGCCCGGCAATTCGGATTTGGAAAAGCGGAAGCCTAACTGAATATTTTTCCTGAATTTTATACTAATTGAACTTGAAAAAGAAATTTAATTTGATTTTTTAAATAAACGATTTCACCGATTTACACGCGTTTTCTCTTGACCAAATTTTGACCGTATCACCCTTTAACCGATCACCTCCGTCTGAAGTGTACTTGGACAGTTTGCTTCGGTATGATTTTAACGTAGCGCATCTCGACTTTCCTCCGGAAAATGTGCTGAGCAAACTCAAAGGGATAGACGAATCCAAAGGCGCCGGACCAGATCGTCTTTCAGCACTGTTTATCAAGAACTGCGCCGTTTCGCTTTCCGTTCCCGCCACAATTCTTTTTAATCGTTCCATGGCGGAAGGCGTTTTTCCGAGTGCTTGGAAAACTGCTGCACATACATAAAGCTGGTAGTATCCATAACGTAGAGAACTACCGTGGCATATCAATTTTGAGCTGCTTGCCAAAGATTTTTGAAAGCCTCGTCTTCGATTCGTTTTATCCACACGTTCATCATATTATTTCTGAATTCCAGCACGGATTCGTGAAAAAACGCTCTACCACTACCAACCTGATGGCATATGTTTCCTCGTTGGTCAACACACTGGAAATGAGACAACAAATCGATGCCATCTATATCGACTTCTCTAAAGCGTTCGATAGAGTGCCGCATTCTTTGGCGGTGGACAAATTGGACAGAATGGGCCTACCCGCCTGGTTGACTCGCTGGATATTTTCCTACCTAACTGAGCGCAGTGCTTACGTTTGCCTTGATGGAACGAGCTCTGACCCATTCGATATCACATCTGATGTGCCTCAAGGGAGCCATTTGGGCCCACTCCTTTCTTGTGCTATTCGTCAACGATCTTTGCGAAACGATTAAATCTCCGAAGGTAATGTTTGCCTATGATTTGAAGTTCTTCGGGTAGTTTCATCGTTAGTTGATTGCTGTGCCTTACAAGCTGACATCGACGCATTACTACACTGGTGCAGGTTAAACGGAATGGATGTAAATGCCCGAAAATGTAATGTAATTTTTTTTTCTATCGAACAAGGATGGCGACCATTTTCGATTATAGAATGTTGACAACTAGTATCGACAGAGTAAGCACTGTTAAAGATCTAGGTAAGTAAGCTGAGGTTTACCCAACACATAGCTGCACCGACCGCCAAGGCGTACGCAGTGCTTGGATTCATCAAACGAAACACGCAGCAGTTTAAAGACTTTCATTGCTTAAAAATCTCTGCTGCGCGCTGGTACGCAGCATACTTGAATATGGAGTGCTGGTGTGGGCGCCATACCATGTCGTTCAGATTAACCGGATCGAGCGTATTCAAAGGAACTTTCTTCGATTTGCATTTCGTTTACTTCCGTGGAATGATCCGGTTCGATTACCACCCTGCGAGCATCGGTGCGCCTTGATACATCTACCGACCTTGGCTAGTAGGAGGATCCTGTTGCAGCGGCTTTTTATATTCGACATCCTGAAGAGCAACGTAGACTGCTTAGTACTGCTGAGCAATATAAATGTAAACATTCCGGCCAGAACGATCCGGCGTGCAGATTTTCTCCGCCTTCCTGTGCACTGCACTCTTTATGGACAGAACCATCCGTTTGATGTTAGTTGTCGTCGTTTTAATGAAGTATTTGTCCTTTTTGATTTTAATATATCTAAGACAATGTTTAGAAATTGTATTAGTGAATAGCAATATCTGTCTGTACGATCAGTTCAAAGACTAGTAAAATAAAATAAAAATAAATAAATTTAAAAATCACTTTGGAACGGTTTTGATACAAGGTTGGCGCGGATTTGGTTCCAATTTTAGTTAAAAATTTCTCGAAACAACGCGGAATATGGAAGTCGAAAATCAATTGCACGAGGTCGTCGGTTAATCCCTCACCACAGAATACGCCAGCAAACTTGTCTGAAAACAAGCGTCAGATCTCCTGCCGGGTGGAAGCCATTTCATCGTTCAACACCATTGACGATGTACCTTTACTGCCCATAAACGCATAACAATCCCGCTTGTATTGTTTCATGGAATCTTGTGGCTGGGACAACTATGTTTTGGTATTTTTAATATATTTTTAAAACAAAGCAGTTCACTTTATGTGAACATATTAAACTATAGGTAGCTAATAATCGATTCAAGAAGATAACTCATTTTGCGTTTATGGGAAGTTTTTCGGATGATAAACTTGATGGAGACATCACGTCTCTAAAATTTCGGAGTTAAAAGTGTGATTTTGGTGCCATCTATGCGGATGAGCTTCGAACTATATGTTGCCTTTTTATTATGAGAAACTTCATTGAAGACATATTAAGTCACGGAACTGCTTCGTATCAGAGATATTAATTTTGTCCCGATAGATTGGATTCCTGTTCATAGAACATTGTTTCGCAATAATTGAGCGAATGTAAAAGTCGATCCTTAAATCTTCGGGAAACAAACTGAAAACCATTTTGTTTATATCTTAGACTTCCAATTCATGAATCTTTTTCCCACTTCTCACAGAGACATCTGCAAGCGAATAATGATTGAACGATCCCTCCAGCTCGATACGAACAGTTCGAGCTTGGGCAGCTCCCGCTGTGCAATACGCCCCACTGATCTGCCGACCGAAAACAGACGATGGATACGACACCGTAAGACTGACTAACGCCCTTAAATGAAAAATAACCCTTATTGATAACATTTCCGGCTATCAACAGCAGCATCTTTTCCCACCCCGATGGAGGAACCGAAAAAGGTTCTAAAGGCGCAATATCTCGGTTCACTCGAGGTGGATCAACCAACCGGAATGGAAGTACTGAACGACGCCATCAGCAAATTGGTCACTGGTACGCCGGTGGAAAACTGGGACAATGTCAACGTTTCGGTGGCACCCAGCATGATCAGTGTTAACACCTCGGTTAGTTTGGCCATCACCACCGGTGTGGTTCCAATTAGAACGTCTGATAACCGAGTTTCGTTTGTTTGCAGGACCCGGAAGCTCGTTTGCTGTGCGAATGTAGGGTGAGGTACCTGAGCTTTTTAGGTATTGGGAAGAACGTCAAAAACTGCGCTTTCATCATGCACACCGCACAGGACAAGTTCGTAGCGCACGTGTTCCACTGCGAACCATCTAGCGGGGCACTTTGCAAAACGATAGAAGCCGCTTGTAAGGTAGGTGTGGATGTTTTGATTGGTATGGTAAACGATAGAAGATACAATGAGGGTCAACTATTGCAGCTTCGATACCAGAAATGTCTCGATGCTCATCCGGAGGGGAGTGGTCGCTACTCAGCCGATTCGCACACACCAGGAAAGGGAATTGGAGCGACTTTAAAAAACTTGATGAGCTCGTTCTCACTAAAAAAGGATAAGGCCAGTTCCTGAGAACGAGCAAAGTCACTGCAGGTAGAGTATCCCATTGAATTGACGAAAATTGCGTGTCTTTCGGTTTCTTAAAACATGTACAATTCCCCTTTTTCTACCCGTGATTCCTCAATCTTATCTTCCGATCATCCCGAATGTCATACCGACACAACTCACAAACACACTGAACCCCCGCCATTCGCATTTCCACCTGTAGTAAATCAAGAAACCCGTAATTGTAATTTAGGAAATCTGGCCACTAGCCGCGGAACGGGAGATCATCCCCCATCGGCACCTGCAGTCACCGCTGATAAATAAGAAAATCTTCGAGTGTCCCAACAGTCCGTAGCATATGATGCTACCAGCAGCTTGGCAGAAGATTGCACTCACCAAAGCCGCTGGGGGTCATGCTAGTAGTATTAATAGTTTTGGCAATAGCATCCGCAAATCATCCCTATCGTCGCTGTCAACAGCATCGATCGCGTCCACGCTGTCGTCGGAAACGTCCAACACGACGGTGTCGTACATCAGCATCACTAGTAGTCATCAGCCAGCAGCAGCAAATAGCAACAATACTAGCATAAGTAGCAGCAACAGTGATAGCATGAAAAATAATATTATCTGCAACGCCACCAGAACCACTACGAGCGCAGAAGTAATAGGGAGATCGTCGCAGCTTATGGCAACTCAAGAAGATGAGCAGCAGCAGCAGCAGCAGGTACTGCTGCCAACGACCGACGACACAAGCAACTGTAACTATAGTAAGCTAGATTGTGTGATTGAAGAAAACTTATAATTGTCTGCTGTTTTTGGCTACCTGGTTTTCTACATCAATTAGACTCCGAGCGGATGTTTAAATTAGCTAAAACAAATGTGTAGTAACACTATCGTAGTAGTCGGTAGTTCAAAGACAATGTGAGTAACAGAGAAATTTTATTTTCAACATTTATGTAGAAAGATAAAGACGGAAAGACGGAATGATGGTACAACAAGCAGGAGAAGGACACTGAAAAGGATGCCATGTGATGGAACTCGAATGATGGGCCTGGTCATTGGAACAAGAAGTGTGATGGTTTCAGTGGGTGATTGGTGGTAGCGCCACGGACAAACGCTTTCGAAAAATTTTTCATTGGAAAACATCAGCCTTAACGCGACTTGTTTCACCTAATAATCGGGCAGGTGTTTCAATAATAGTAGCGTTCTTATAGTTGCGGTAGGGGGTTTATGTCAGAATAATGGTGAAACACCAGATTGATTTATTTTACATACCTAGTTCACTCTCCCAAAATAAAGTAGATTTGCATACTTGAAACTTGACGTTTGCCCAAAAATGACGGAGCACAATCAATTCCTCCCATGGCTCAGTCGGTAAAAGTGCAGCTACAAAGCAAGACCATGCTGGAGGTGGCTGGGTTCGATTCCCGATCCGGTCTATGCATTTTTCGGGTTGGAAAATTTCTCGACATTCCTGGGCAATAGCGTATCATTGAACATGTCACACAATACACGAATGCAAAAATGGTACAGGCATCAAAAGCTCTCAATTATTAACTGTGAAAGAGGATAAAGAACACTTAGTTGAGAGCACGCAATAATATTATCGATAAGGAACAAGCTTGAAATGCAAGGAAAAAGAAGGCAATTGGTTTACCTTACGATTTTAACTCCTTTGCACCTTTAGTTGCGGTAGTGTTCCTATAATAGTGAAATCCATTAAAAACCAATGCGTCCCACTATTATAGGAACCAAATTTTGCAACTACCACAACTTCCTCTGAATGGAGGACGAGCTTTTGAAAAATGTATACAATTCAATCACATTGTAATATTTTTCCACCAAAATATAAATTGAAAGTTATAGGCTGGCTTATAAAAAGTATAGTTATATCGTTTATTAATTTTTAAATAATTAAATTGGCTTAGTTCCTTCATTACTGGCTCATCAACCCTAATGCAGTTCCCATGTAAAATTGCAAGTTTTATTGAGGTTTTAGATTGGAACGTTTTTCTTCTGGCTATTTTATATTGAAGTCATCGTCACAAATATTTAAGCTCCCGAAGACTTTTTCAAATATTTGTCAACCTTATTCTTTCCTTTATTTAACATCAGTCTCTGCTCCGCAATCTAGTACCAATCACCGACGGACATCGATTGCCATCCATTGACGGCAATCGAATGTGCAGGAAGGCAGTTTCCACACCTGCGTAGGATATCGCACCCATTCATCAAACATGAACCGGGGCCAACAGCTTTACTTCCCTTTATGCCTCAGAAAAATCCCCCCGACCTCGGCTGGGATTGAACCTAGATCCATTGGGGTACGAAAGCAGTCACGCTTATCACTACACCACCGGCGCCGGCATTTTGATGCAAATTGATATTTTATGGATATATTCAAATCAGTCAGGGAAGACCACTAATCCTTGACTTATTTGATGTCAGATCTTTATCTATGCAGTGGCCTATTTTTCAAATATTCATGTTTTTAAGAAGCGTAGCTGTGAGATATATTTCAGTTGACCATGGACTAAGTCCAGACTAAAGCTTCCGATCAGACATATAAGTCCAATGCACACTGGGCCAGAAATGCAATCTAGCGGAGCAAAAGTAGTAACTCTGAAACGAAGCCTTTTCGTGACTTTGTGTCTTCGATCAAGTTTCTCATCATAATAAGGACCATCTATTGACATAAACAAATAGTTCAAAACTCTTCCGCAAAGATGGCGCCACAATATAACTTCTTTCACTGACGTTTTGGAGACTTGATGTCTTCGGCAAAGTTGTTTGCCTTGACAAAATAAACAACTCTTTTGAAGACGTAAAATTACCACAGCCGACTGGTTCCGAGTCATATGAAGTTAAAGAAAAAAATGTCTCTTATGCAAATGCATTAAATAAATAACTTTTGTTAAGAAACATATTGGTTAATGCTTCAAATTTTAAAGAAATTGTTGAAAAACCGAAAATAAAACAACAAATTTTAACTTATATACCTCTCACAGAGCAAAAAATCGTAACCTGACATTTTCAGCTAAAATTAGGCAATACTCGATTAACAAAATATCAAAATTTGAGAGAAGTATATTTTGGTGATTTTGAGATTTCTTCATTTTAGTGAAAAACAAAATTTATAACTTTTTTTAATGCATTGAAATGGCGTTTTTAAGAATTGACTTCTTCAGCAAAGCTGTTTATCTTGATAAAATTAACAACTCTTCTGAAGAAGTCAAAATTCCACAGCCTAGCCTTCAAAAGAGTTGTTTATTTTGTCAAGGCAAACAACTTTGCCGAAGATATCAAGTCTCCAAAACGTTAGAGAAAGAAATTAAATTGTGGTGCCATCTTTGCGGCAGAGTTTTGAACTATTTGTTTATGTCAATAGATGGTCCTTATTATGATGAGAAACTTGATCGAAGACACCAAGTCACGGAGCAAAATTAATAACTCCGAAATTAAGCATTTCATTTCGGAATTATTAATTTTGCTCCGCTAGATTGCATTTCTGGCCCAGTGTGCAATGTGGAATCGATGTCTGACCAAAGCCACAGGTAAGATGCGGTTTTCTGCTAGAAATCTGATTGATGTCTGATTGAATTGGGGTTTGTGTCGCGACAGGATAGACATTTCAAAATTAAGTTCAAATGAAGAAGAAGATCGAAATCATCCAGTTGTATTACCCAGCGATGGTTACAGCTGGTGACCAAGTCAGGAAAATCGGAGTAATGTTATTGAACTACTGGATTTCTTTGTTATTCATATCTAAGTCCCATTAACATCAGAAAAAGGCGGAAACCTTAAAGAAGATCAGCGAATTTCTTGGAAGCTCCAAAACTTTAAAGGAATTTCCGAAACCTAAGGGTGATTCCAAGAACTTCAAGAGCGTCCAGAACTACAGGAAAGTTTAAGATCTTTTAGGTTGAGTTTCGGTAGCATCAGGCCAGTTCCAGACAACCAGAGGTCGCATATAAGAATGACATACATCGCATTATGTTTAAGTTAAATCGTGTAGAATGCACAGTTTCAACTATTACACGGTGAATTATCTTTCCATCGTACTGTATCACAAATTAAATCGGATTGCATCGAAAGACTTTTCAAATTGAATTTTTTATTACAGATTAAATCGTATACAATGTCAAATCAACTCGCTTAAAAAGAAATTAGAATCTCCACGTTTGTACGTATAAGCCATTTTTCGGCATTCTATGTGATTTGTTTGATTGTATATATGTTTGTAAATCACATAAACAACCTTGAATATACGTGCATTATGGTTGTCTGGGGTCCCACTGGTTTCAGATTTTTTTTGATAATCCAATGAAGATAGATCAAAGAGCATCAGGGCAGTTCTATTAACTTCAGAAAAAAAATCAGAATGTTAACAGAAGTTGTCAAGATCTTAAGGGAAGCTATTAAACTTTAGGGAGTTCCGAGATAATCAGGAAGTTTGAGAGAACTTCAGTTAATTGGACGGATGTCCCAAGGTTTAACGACCAGAGATGCCTGTCCCGGTTAAGAACCGGCCACACCCGTAAGATTTCCACCAAAGATGTGACACCTGCAGAACCACAATGACGGTCGAGCACATTCTAATAAACTGCCCTTGCTTCCACGGACCACGAGAGCTCTACGGGATCCCGGGCAACATCCGAGACGCCCTTCAGAACGACCCGGTAGCAGAGGCACAACTGATATGTTTCGCGAAGGAGGCCGGAATCTACAAGAAAGTTTAACCCATATATATTATTACAGTAGGCCCGGCATTCCCTGCCGGTAGCGGGTGCCAGGTCCTCAAAACAAAATATAAAACACAAAAGATGACAGCAACATACACTCAAAAAATTCCACACGTTTGATCGAAGTGTTTAAACACTTGATTTTTTAAATGCACAATCACATTTACTTTAAGTGTGTTTCACCTTGGTTCAATGTGTTATACACGTTAATTTCTAGTGTTTCAAACTTTGAAAAGTTGAAAATCTTTTACTATCTATTCAAGTGTATTGCACATTGAATCACACTACTGTTCAAAACAGATGGATTTAAAGTGTTTTCCATTTCAATACGATGTGAATTGCTTGCTCAGAAAGGTAAACATTGAAAACAAGAGTTGTGACTTTATCCTATCAAGCCACCTCACATATGAGAACAATCGTGGCACAGTGAGATCGAACAAAGACTCCGACAGCAGCACACCCCAACAGTCCATGATCGAATCCCAAATCAGGCCCATTAAAAAGATATGTGAAAGCTCTGGCCTCTGAAATTTGTTTATATATTTGTCGATTCATTTTTAGAGTCGGTAAAGTAGAAGTCGATAGAGTAGAATATTGTAGAATTTTGCAAAGCTATTGATATCACCATATGAGGCACATAGAATCCAAGTGTGTCACAATTCAATTCCATAGTTTCAGGCATGGTTCATAGCATAAGATTCACACATGAAATGGATGTGTTTCACAATAAGCGCAAAATTAAGTGTGAGACACATGATGATGACGTGGGCAATTTTTTGAGTGTAGAACAGTTAGGCAAAATAAGTTCCCCTCTGGATCCGCAACCATCATTTAACTCCGTAAAATAAAAACTCTGTACCTTCTCTCCCTTTGGGATACCCCCTTCTGGGGTGTCCAGAGACAAACCAGCCCAGGGCTGAAAGTCTTCTTAATAAAGATATAAAAAAAAATTTCAGTTAAATTTCTAGAATATTTGAGCAGTTCCAAGGGGCAAGACAACTTAGATATGTTTGAAAAAATATTTAATAAATATTTCTAAATATCAACATATATCAGTATTTTCAAAAACTTGTGATTGGAAAAGTAAGTGCTTTTTGTGCTAAACAATTTTTGTTCTACGGATACTTGTTGTTTTTTTTTTCAATGGTGAGCCTTCCAATAATTTACGGATATTTTTGTTTTTAATTGTAAGCCAAGGAAAAGATAATATCAATACATATTTTGAAATATGTGTGTCCCACCCCCTGGACACGTTCATTAAATTCAGAGAAATCGAACCATCTAGAAGTTCAAAAAAGATAATTACAGATATTCCAGAGAATATCAAGGAAGTTAAGAGAACTTAAGATAAATTTCGGAAACTTCACATAAGTTGCGACAAATTCATGTAAGTTATGAAAACGTTGGGAAGCTTAGGCAGCTTGGGCTGTTTGATTAATTTCAAAGCAATTCCAGAAACATCATCAGAAGAGTACCAATTATATCTGGAAAAATTTGAGAACTTCAGGATGGTCTAGAAAAATTATAAGGAGATGACTCAAGAAATGAAAGAAAATAGGTATCGATGATTTCGAGGCAGTCTCATGAATAGACTGCGTGATAATAAAAGAGCTTCTGTAAATATTCCAGCATTTCAGGGAAGCTTCGAGAACTTCAAGGTGGTTCCGTCAGCTTTGGGGAAACTGTAGAAACTTCTAAGAAGTTCTATGAACTTCAATGATATCCAGAAAACTTAAGAAAAGTCAAGGAATCATTCGAGAAGTCCAGATAATATAACGAAAATCGTGAAAATTGTGAAGAAGCTTCGAGAACTTCAGGAAAATTAGGTCCATAGATGTTCAGAGAAACTCAGAGATCTTGAGGGCAGTCTCAATAACTTCAGGACAGTCCAGACTTTCAGGGAAAATTTAAGATCTGTAAAGGCTTTTTAGGATTCTGTAGCGAGCGTTTTGCGGCTCTTTACTAAGTGTTCTAGATGCACTTCCACAGCTATTAATTGAGTGATTTCAATGCCAACATCAATGCACGAATTTGTAAACTGAGTGGTCAGCATGATATTGCTTCTATGCCCATGGAAGTCTAGTAAATATATAACCCGCAAGATGTTCTCGACCATACCGGGAATCGAACCCACCGCCACCCGGCTTGGTACTTTTTCTTTGTTCGGGACCTAACACTACTGCGACCAGTAATTTGATCTATTGTAGTATATCCCGTGTCCTTTGTTTAGTGCATGTCGTACTACTCCATCACTATTGAGGAATGATGAAGTATTCAATTTTTTCACAGTTGCCATTCTTGCATGTATCGCAAGGATCCGACTCTAATTGAAAGGTCCCGCTATTTATACCCTTCGGAGTGTTGAAACACCCTCCAAAGGCGCGCCCCGTTGTCAGTCAAAATTGGACTTCTTAGCAACAAAATTAAGGAATGACACGGATAATTACCATGCATCAGAATCCTAGTCTTAACCATTTCAAACCTAGAGAACAACGAATGGAAGAATAGGAATCACATAGATGAAGACTAACTAACTCATTTTTTCTTTGTTTCAAGATCATTCTCGGTTTACAAAGTCGAGTCTTGTCACTATCAACAAGGCATAAAAAGTAACAAGGACTAAGATGTGTTCTTTGGATTACTGAAAAATTCTGTCCACCTAGTTTGAAGTAGTCAGGACTAGGAATCGGTGGTAGATCTTACATCCCTTAACGTACCATGAAAAGGTGATCTACCCACGGTACGGAGCCGGCTTGGTAATACCGTGCCTTTATATCTGAGACCCCAGTTTGTAAAGGTTAGTTTTTATTAATTCACGAGTTTCCGAAAATTATTGAAAAACGTCATGAAGTTCTGGGAATTACGAGGAAGTTCAAAGAACTTCTGAGAAGTTCAGTTAACTTCAAACATATTTTGGGAACATTCTGAGGGCATTTTTGAAAGTTTAAGCAAAGTTTAAAAATCTTCATGGAAGTCCAAAGAAGAAAATTATATAGCATTTTAGACAGTTTAATTATTTTCAGGGATATTTCGAGGAAGATCAGAGAACTTCAGAACAATTTTTAATCTCTTGCAAATCCCGAAAATTTCAGGTAGGCTCTTAAAAAAAACATTAAAAATTTCGGGGCCTTCATGAAAGTTCCATGGATATCAGAGAAAATGTTGGAATGCAAGAGACGTTCCGAGACATTTTTGAAAATTTAAGGTAATTCATGAAGAAATGGAAGTTTCAGGCAACTCTAGAGATGGTCAGAGAAGTTGCGAAATTTTAAGGGAAGATCCAAGAGCTTCAAGGAAGTATCAAAAACTTCAGGAAGCTTCAGAATGGATCAAAGAATTTCAATTCCATGAACATCATCGCAAGAGTGAAAAGAGCTTCAAAGAATTACTAGATAAATTCAGGATGGTCCACAAACGTATAGGAAGTATAAATAAATTCCTAAGAATTAAAGAAAATATCGAGATTTTTAGGGAAGATTCATGAACAAATTGTGGGGTAATGAGGGAAGTTCCAAGAAATTCCATAAAATACCGGGCGCGTAAGGGAAGCTTTAGGGACTGCAAGGTGGTTCCTTCAGATTCACGGAAACTTTAGGATCTTTTAAAAAGATCTAATAACTTCACGGAAAACCAGAGAACTTCAAGGAAGTCCAGAAACTTGTCAAAAGTTGTGAAAAATAAAGACATGTCTAAAGATCTTCATGGAAGCTAACAGACCTTAAGGGCAGTCCCAATAGCTTCAGAAAAGTCCAGCCTTTCTTAAAATTTATAGATGAACTTTCGGAAATGTAAGGAAAGTGTTAAGAACTCCTGAGAAAGTTCTAAAACTTCAGAAATATTATGGGACTTTTACAGAAGTCTTGTGATCTTCAGAGAAATTTGAAGATTTTAAGGACATTTTCATTTATTTCTGGACAGTACCACTAACTTTTAGGCATCCAAATTATTCCTATCAATTATCATTTTCACACCTATCTTTATCACCTATCTCTATCCCTATCACAACTGCTTATATCAATGATACTATCAGTGATAGAAAAAATGATAGATAGATGATAGAGGGTATTATCCCTATCATAGATAGGAGTGAGAGTGATATTATCAGCAGAGAACCTATCAATGTTGAAGAAGTTATTATCCATCCCTATCTTTTGAGAGAACGTTTGTGATGTTATCATTATCAATTAAACGACGTATCTCCATCACATTTTTGGAAAACTGTTTCATCTCTATCATTTTATATTATCATGCATACCGAAAAACCTGGCATAGTGGGAAAATGGTTTGTATCAGATAAGAATCTGCCAAACTTGTACAACAAACTATACAAAACATATGGATATTTTTGGAATCATGGTGACGTATAGAGACCGGAAATCGATGTCCGACGCCATTTTGGAATTCAAGATGGCGGCTTCTGGTTATAATAAAATCTGGGAAACATTATCAAATACCCTTCAATATGGGAATTTTCGGAATCGTCGTGACGTATAGAGACCGGAAATCGATGTCCGATGCCATAAACCCGGAACTGTACACCCAGATGCTGACGAAGCCTCATTGTCTCATAATCGTTGATGAGACTTACGTCAAGGCGGACTTCCGGCAGCTTCCGGGGCTACTGTTCTTCACCGCCCAGCTCAAGTTTGATTTTCCGGAGGAAGTAAGGAAGCAGAAACTTACAAAGTTTGCTAAGAAATAAATGATTTGGCAAGCAATCTGCTCATGTGGCAACCAGAGTACGCCGTTCGTGACTACCGGGATTGTATACGGGGAGATCTTCCTCAAGAAGTGTCTACAGAAGCGTCTGCTTCCTCTGTTGAAGCAACACGAGGACCCTATGATCTTCTGGCCAGATCTAGGTTCGTGCCACTATTCAAATGTTGTCCTGGAGTGGTACGAAGCCAACGTACCCAAGGACATGAACCCCCCCCCCCCCAACGCACCGGAACTAAGGCCCATTAAAAATGCTGGGCTATTATGAAACAGGCACTACGGAAGCATCCCAGAGGGTATCCTATCAAACGCATAATTGACTTTTTAACGCTGCAATCACGGATTTATTTGATGTTTTTTGCTCAATAGGCCCAAAATGGGTGATAAGACCGAAGCAGTTCTCTATCCTATTTGATAATGTTTCCCAGATTTTAGGATAACCAGAAGCCGCCATCTTGGATTTCAAAATGGCGTCGGACATCGATTTCCGGATTCGAGACGTAACCACGATTCTGAAAATACCCATATTGAAGGGTATTTGATAATGTTTTCCAGATTTAGGGTAACCAGAAGCTGCTATCTTGGATTTCAAAATGGCGTCGGACATCGATTTCCGTTCTCTATACGTCACCACGATTCGAAAAATACCCATATTGAAGGGTATTTGATAATGTTTTCCAGATTTTAGGATAACCAGAAGCCGCCATATTGGATTTCAAAATGGCGTCGGACATCGATTTCCGGATTCGAGACGTAACCACGATTCTGAAAATACCCATATTGAAGGGTATTTGATAATGTTTTCCGGATTTAGGGTAACCAGGAGCTGCCATCTTGGATTTCAAAATGGCGTCGGACATCGATTTCCGTTCTCTATACGTAACCACGATTCACAATTATAATGTACTCGAAAGTCACCATCTTGGATTTAAAAATGATGGCGAACATTGATTTCCGGTATTTAGACGTCATCCTCGTTCTTAATATACCCATACTGTAAGGACAGAAATCAATTTCCGGCATCTACACTTCGTCCCCGGTCCGAAATATAAATATTGATTCGTATTGGAATGTTTTTTATTTTGACCATTTGGGAGGAGAATTGTCCGTTGTCCATTATAAAACATATTATTTCGAACTATCATTGATACAGAAAGAATCCCTATCTCTATCATGTGATGTTCAACTATCAGATGGACCATATATCATGATAGCTAAAGGAAATGATATTGTTTCTATCTGTCCTATCCCATCATTGAGTCTATCTATCATTTTTTCTATCATGATAGTATCAAAGATGGGATAGGGGTTCTATCATGATAGACTGAGAGAGAATCTATTAGATAGAAACCTATCACTGTGATAAGTCTCTATCTGAAAGATGATACTATCACCATTTATCAGATAATTTTGATGCCTGCTAACCATAGACAATTGTGGGAACTTTAGGGTAGCTTCAAGAACATCAGGGAAGATTAGAGAACCGCAGGGTGGTTCAGTAATTTTCTGACCCCCTAGGAATCCCCCATTAGGTACGCCAATGACCACAGGATCAATGTTGGAATCAATCTCAAGTCCAAGAACAAGAGAAACGAGCGCGAAAAGGAGTCATATGCCTTCTTGTAGTCGATATATGGCATAGTGAGATTCCGCTGACTGTGCCCTGCCTGTTCAACGATGACTGCATTAATGATGGTTTGGCCTTTGCAGCTACGTGTGTTCTTTTTGGCAGGGATGATCATGCGCAGGGTCTTATACAGGCATGTGCTTAGCCTACACTTTGATGGAGTCCTCGTGTGTGGCGACTCCCGCTAGAATGTGAGGCTCTCGTGCCACCGTCTAAGGATGTGCTACGGTCAGTTTCTTCAACCAAAAATTTTGGACTCTTTTAAGACCTGGAGCCAATAAATATCTATGGAACCTCGTAGCTTTGCGGTTTTCTCCTTCTTCGACGACAATGGCTTGCATTTCTTCTGTTTCTACACAGCAGTTTTTGAGTTTCTTCAGCGAAATGCTGCATAATTCGTCGATATTTACTCTCAATGATTGTATTTTCCCTTGTCCGTAGAATTGTTCAAGTATGGGCTCCACATCCAAATAAATTTTCCAAACTAAGACCAAGAATCAACTGAAACGGGCCAAAAGTAAACTCTGTCAACCAACATTCAATCCGCTCAAACCGTCACACTTCTTCTTCGATCAGAAGTTTTAACTTTTATTCCTGCCACATTTAATCATATTTTTGGTGGCAAACGCTAAACTCTAGCTAGCTTAAATAACTTTCCAAACATTTCCAAGTGAAATAAAACCAAATACGTCAAACTAACCATACAAACAAAGCAACTGTTTCCAGTCCTCGGTAAAAACAAACAACAAAATAGAAAACTTTAAACAATTATATACGCTTCAATACAGGTCAGATTCTTCCTCGGAGAGATGAGAAATGAGCAAGAGAGAGAGAAAGAGAGAGAGAGAGAGAGAAAGTAGCTTAACGATATGTAATGCATAGGAAAAAAAGAGAGAAATAGTAATGTAAATATTTCAAGAAAAAGTGTAGCCTATTTAAGTTTTGCTAGAAGGCGAGAAGCAACAGTTTTGTTCTAAGAAACAAAAACACCCACCCCTGCGCAAGGTTTTATATGTCTTGTATCCGTGGCAAATGTACTTAGTGAAAAGATATTTGTTGTGTTTTGTGACAGATTTATGTTCAGAATTTTGTGCGGCGCAAGAGGTGACGTATGACTGCCCCAAAAATTGCAATGCTCCACCCTGTAGCTGCTACGTAGGTTATTTAAGAAACAGTGGAAAATGTAGGGTGATTTAGATTCCCGTTCAGTTTTGTCATGCATCGAGCGTTCATATAAAAACAATTAAATAAGCGATTGACAGAAATAAAATGACATATCCTTATTAAATTTGTAGGAAATCGAGCCTTTGATTTGCTTACCTTCTGTTAGACGGAATAACAATGCCTTTTGTTTTTGACTCAGTTGAATCCTTTTCGATCTGTGTAAGATGGACCAATATTAACTTCCAGTTCAGGAATTTTACACAACCAACCACAAAAAAAAATGCATTTTCTATGATCTTAAGCTATTTACATTTGAAGGAAATTGAAGAATGCCGTCTGAGAAGTAAATATTTTACAAAGTGAAGATCCCAACCAAACAAACCTGAACGAAAGAAGCTTACTTGCGAAGAATACAATCCATCAAGTGCTTGAAAATGAGAATTTCATTTTAAATTGCCGCTGAATACTCAGTTCCAGATAGCGCAATCGTTCTGTTGATTCGTATTGCAAGACACCTATATCAAACCTATTTATCCGTCTTAGAGGTCAAAAACGAAGGAAAAAAAGAGAGAAAAAATATCACTATTCGTATAACCGAACCCTTCCCAATATTTAAAGAATCCTCTAGATGCAGAAGCGAACAAACTTGTAGCCAACAAATTTTACATTTACCAGCATCATTCCACGTATGTAGTAATCGTTCACGATCAAACCTGTAACACACCCACAGCTGAGCAAAACCACAAGCATCACACTCACATCCCCATTACTCAAACACACTAAGACTAGGATCATGCGTGTAAATGTAAATACAAAGCGATAAAAATCCCAAAAAAAAATATTTCTTGCCTTCAAAACAAAAACACAAGTATGTATTCAAAAATATAAATGACAAGAAAAGAATAGCTGTAACAACAAAGGTATATTTATAAAAAATAATATTATTTTTTATCTAGGAGCTTTTTGTGAAATGTTAGAAGAAACAAACATGCAAAAACATTGATGTAAAAGAAGAAGCAAAGCAAAAAAAAGGGAATGTTATTTATATTTGCAGACATCATCGGGAAGAAGCTAATGTCCGTCAATCTACCTAGTGATATTTCGAATCGATTGCTTCATTCAACAGGCGTGATTTCGTTTTCGATTTTCATTTTCGGCGGGCAGCAGTGAATAAAAACGCAATAAGTTGACTGGGACAACTTGGAAGAAATCGAAGAAAAAATGTACCGATAAGATAATTGAACACAAACAAAACTTGCAATGTTAAATATAATGCATCCTTTGAAAACATGGTAAAAAGCAACGCTGGAAAAAAAGCAAACAAAAAAAAAAAACACAAAAATCGCTAAGACAAAACGAAACAAATAAATCAGCATTATGTAAACCTACCAACAGTAAACTAACTATGGCTTGCTTTTTGCACTTGTGCACAATTATAATCAGAATTACAAACAAAAAAAAAACATACCGAAGCAAATCGTAACGAACGCTGCTACAGCAAAAGGCTTGAAGTAAAATATTGATAAAAAAAACATCAGCTAAAATGTTTTATGAATGCAAACGATACACAGCAGAGGAAAGGAATGTTTTGTTCTACGGCGGAGGGAATATACCGATTGAACTTGTAGTGGTGAATGGTTCCCGGGGCCAAGTGCCGATCAATTATGGAAAATATTGCAATTAACGTATCAGTAGTGATGCATCACGGACGTTCCACGTGGTTAACCCTTCGAACGGGCTTATCCATTAGCTTGCAATGACCTAGCCGTCGTCGGTTGGAGCTGGGAACTGTTTTGCACTGTAAATTTGATTGCCTTTGGCCAGTAGAGGTATGTGTGCTGCGAAAATTGTGGTAAAACAGCATCACGAAAGAGAGATGAAAATGAAAACAACTAGCCCAAGCTAGAACAGAACGAGAGAAAAATAGTTAAAAGTAAAACTATGATAAAAACAAGAAAATGACTGCATCGCTTTTGATTACTATGTAAATTGTATAAAAATATATGAAAATTTCAAAAAATCAATGTTAAAAACTTCTTAATTTATATCACATTCTCGGATTACTACTTCCATTGGTCCGATGTAGTAAACTCTACAGTATGAGTGAGTGGACGCGCTGACAATCTGATCTGACCATTGTGTACACTCGGCACAGACGGCTGATGCATAGCATGGGTGCATGTGTGATAGTAGTTTGTTTTGGATGTCTCCTCTTTCACTGAAAAAGGAGCGCATACTAAACAAACTTCTATCAACACATTTCGAAACCAACCGCTAAATGTGCTGGCGCTGCTATCAATCAATATACTGTGCTTCCGGATTCCAACTGGACCACACTTTATGTGTCAACAACAAGTTTTTAAGAAATCAATCGGAATTTGTAATTCAGGCATGTTAGCATACAACTATATCAAGATTACAGCTGCCATGTCTTTCTTGCCTGAAATAATAATGATGGTGTGGTTCTCAGTTCCATTCTGAAGTGTAGCGACCAACAAAAAACCCTAAATCTGATAAGAAAATTTCTTCATCATTTGAACTTAAGTTTCTCGTTGCAGTGTATCCTCGTTTAGACTTCAGTCTTTTAGTAATTATCAGCAAGTGAGTACTTGTTTGCGTGAACATGAAGAAAATTATGATCGTATTGCTCGCTCAGTTCTCGGTAGCATTTTGCATTAACATAGCAAATAATATCAATAGATTTGAAGGTATTGGCGGCATTTTCTAACTAAAATCATAACAACCTGATCACATAGATAGTTTTCAGCGACATACGGTTGTTTGCAGTACAACACAAAACAAGGATATTATCATCCACATCCTTACTACTCTACGGCTAGATTCAAAAATATGCATTTAACTAAAAATAATGTAACAAAAATGCGTATGGGAGTTTTGGCTCGCAACGATGGTCATATACGCTTGTCGCCGATTGAATATCCCTATGACAATACGAAGATTAATGAAATTGGTAATGTAACATACGTCTTGCTTTCAGTACTCTCATAACTTAATGATGTTTTTCTAGTGCTTTCCGGTTGGGGAAATACAGCAATCGAAATTCGACGATACACCTGCAAGGATCACAAGACCCACACAGACATTCACATATTCAAACATATTGCAAGCAATGGGCTCTTGTCGGAGTTCATTCCGATGATGTTCACGATGGAAATCGATCGGCGTGGAAAGGTGAAACTGATCAAAGATGGTGATGTCTTTCCATTAGTTGAATTCCAGGATCCCAAAATAGCGTTCAACTACATAGGATTTTGCAACTGGGACGTGCCGGCAATTTACTTTTTTGACTGTCCGTTTGAGGTTGATCGTAGAAATTGCATCCAAACGTTTTAAAGTAACAATTTATTTATAATTTACTTATGTGTTAAATTGTTGCAGTTAATATATTTTAAATGTCTAATTTATAAAAGAAATTCTAAAACTTACAAGAACTTTCGTTTTAAGCGAAAAATTACACAAATTTAGAACGTATCGTATATTGGCAGGAAGTGGAACATGAAGGCGATACAACTATAATAAAACGCTGGAACTGATAAGCTGCCTTTGCTTTCATATCTTAATTTATATTCGTCGATCGAGTGCTTCTCTCCGTTTAGCTTTAAGTCGTTCATGAATAATCAGAAACAATTATGTACCAATTTACGTAAACCCGGAGTATCGTATCGTATTTTCCATAATATGATTATCAAGATTTGTCCACTTAGGAGGTTAAATAGTATTGTCAGTTTGTGACAGCGCGGGGGAGGAGAATGGCAGCCAAATTCGTGGAAACGATTTTAAAGCGACAAAACTCGACTAGTGCTTCGACGAGACCATTTAAAGGGATACAACTCGTGGAATTCCTGGAATTTCATGTAAACAAAATGTGAACACAGTAATCCTTCCATTTATGGATGGTACCACCCACCGCTTTTTCTTGGCTGTCCTTCAAACAATTGAGTTAATTTTCTGTTGACAACTACACTACTTGTACTGCAGCGAATGATATAAGTTGATCTTGCAGACGATGTAATGATTTGTTATGTTTTTATTTCGTGTCATGTCTACGCTTTCGACTATGCAAGCAAGCATTATATTTATAGCATTGTAGAATGACGCACACACTTGCCACGATTCTCTCAAATTACCGTTCATCAGCAAGTACAGGAACAATCCTAATGTGTTTTACATGATTGTATATTAAATAACAAACAATTCATTCTCAGATATGGTGGCCTTCAGATTTGCCCGTTTCTATCTATGCTAGGATCCGGGGGCTCTAAGGCTGCTATCGTTAGGGAGAGCCCCTTATTATCTGATTTCGAAGTTTGAATTTCAAATGATATAAAAAAATAATCGTTATAAAAAATCAGATGAAAATCAAATAAAAAAGGAATCACCGGGGTTGGTTGTTCATAGCAGTCTTCCGAAAAACACACGCACATTTGCACCCGATGTAAAAACATAACGTTTTTGTTGAACACGTACACGCTCTTCCTTGTGTTGTAATGTTCATTTCAAACATGCTGTCCAATACACACACATGAACGTTTTGTTGAAGCCACGTGTTTTTTCAAATGTGCAAACACGGTGTTTGAGCACGATGTTTGTTTTCTTTGGATTGCTTTTGTTGCACGGATTACCGTGCCAGACCATTTTCTACGTTGTTCATAATGATTGTGCAATCAAGTGTTTAGAAAGCATCAACATATTATGAGATATTTTCAAAATGTTCCATGTACTTACAGCTGTAATGCACGGGAAGTAATACTTAAAGTGTTTTCATTTCAAAAATATTGTTGAAAAATCAATAAAAAATATTTTATGCGCAGAAGTAGACACTGTGTGGAATTTGGTGCTTGCACGGTATTTTCCCCTTGTGTCGTGTTCGAGATAGGCGTATATGTCAATGTTTTCATCTGGAAATCTTTTTCCATTGACCTTTCTATCGTTTATAACACGCACACTTGCGTAGTTCCATGTTCAAGTGCGAAGTTTGTTATCCTCACTTTCGCTCTAGCCAAAAATGTTGGTTTGTTCGAGGGTTTGTTGTTGTTATCCTCACTTTCGGACTATCAATACTCGTGCGCGTAGAATGGACTATGGTAGAATACTTTCCTGATGAAAACATATGACTGACACAATCGCACTTCAAGCTGAACATTGCATTAGGTCCCAAATAACATAGATGGGTTCTCTTCGTCGACTTTCTCCTTCGTTGATAACTTGAGCAGAAAACCGTTTCTTGTTGTGTTTGTCGTATTAGATGTTAGATAAAAGCTTCTTTTATCGGTCTGTGTGCTGAAAATATCTGGGAATATCTTTTCATAGCCGTGGGGATACAAACAGAAAGTCGACGAAGAGAATCTGTCAATGTTTCTTAGGACCTAATGCAATATTCAGCTTGACTTTAACTTTATGCATTATTTCGACAGTGAGCATGCATAAGGGCGTATACGCGATGATCGATTCTCTTAATCGTTTTTCTCTTTGCATTGCTACAGCTAAGCGAAACAATTTTGTGGAATTTGTTCAATGTAGAGTTGTAATAGGTTGTATTGGCTTTCAAAAGCAACAACAAACGCACCGACAAACGTTAAATCTAGCGAGTTATTAAGAAAAGAGAAAATCGATGAAGAGAATCGATCATCGCGTGTACGCTCTTATGAATGCTCACTGTCGATTTGTTATTTTACAGGCACTGGAAGTATGATGAAAAATATTTCTGTAAAATGGAAAGTAGAAAGATATGCAATTGATCATTGTTTTACTTCACTACTTTTTCTTTATCGATTGTTGGTAAAAAATCCACAAGTTCTCTATATATTTTGTAGCAACGTAATTCATATATTCAGGCATACACATATTTGTGAACTCAAAAGCATAAATTACGCGCAATGCATGTTCGTTCACCAAGAAATCAAAATTAAGGCTCTGGAGATTAATCGTAATTTTATCAAAGAACCCTTTGCAACACGCTGCACTGTTGTTGTTTGAGACGTTGAAAACACAATGTTCAAACATCATGTACAAACATTAGACGCGCCCACATGTGTGATACATGTTCGAACACAAGGTTAAAAAGATTATGTGTGAGTGCAAACATGAAAAGCAGCAACACAACGAAAACACGTTCATCTCGAACACTACGTTGTATGTTCAATACCGAAGACTGGTTCATAGATAGCAATAGAAATATTGATAGCGTTTCATTAAAGGACTAAAATTGTAGATTTGAAGAGTTTCTCTTTTCAAAAAAGCAGATCTTTAGGCAATATTCTCAATTTCATTTAAATGACGTTCAATAGCATTCAATTACAGTTTTCAAACATACGAACATACGGTTGGAACGATTGTTGTTCTTTACTTGAAAGTAACATTTTCCATTAAACTAAGTGTCAATCAATCTTTTTTTTTAATATGGGAAAATGTTTCAACTAGAAATAAATTATTTTCGGTGAAATCACCAGTGATATACAAAAACTCAGACATTTTTGCGGAACTGCATTCATTTTGTTTTTCATAATATCTGCTGAAAAAATTTGGTACAAGTCATTAAGGAATTCAAATTTAATAAGAATATCTCATAGCAAGTCACTCGACATCCATTTGAGGGACTTATCAATTTCATCCAATATATATATATATGGGTCATTCAAGCTCAAGTGGGTACACCACCTGTGATTGATGTTACCGATTTGAGCCAAACTTGGCCAATACGCTTATTTTGGTATTCTAAACAAACGCCTTTTTTGATTTTGCTCTAAAGTGCCTAGATCCTTCTGGGCTATAACCCTGGATTTTCGAGATTTTTTAAAATGTCAGCTTTCAGAAGAGATTACTCCACAACCAAATAAGCTATTCGTGATCTTAGAACGTCAATTTGAAGTTTTTTTTTTTAAATGTTAATTCTAATAAATGTACAAACATTTTGTTTTTGTTAAAGTAACTACAGTAAACAGACTGATTACCAACAGGTATCCAAATTGTCAAAAAATGGCCTATTTTCACAATGGGCGGGTTTTTTCATGTCTTAATATTAGGGGCTCAAATTTTCACCAAACTTTGAAAAACTTTTTTACTTGATGTTTTTTCAAAGGCAAATGATTTGGATAAATAGTTTTTGAGATATGACCAGATGAGTGATAGGTAGTTTTGAGCTTTTCTGGTGAAAAATCAATGCTATTTAATATATTGTTATAGAACTGGTGGAGGATCGACTGTATCGTTGAATATTTTATTGAACGGTTACGGAGTCTTTGTTAAAATGAACGAGTTTTTATTTACCCGACGTTTCGACTCGGGGATTGTGTCTCCTTCAGGGGGAACTATAATTTTATGTATCAATATTCTATGGTTTCCCTACATATTTATGTTATGGTGACACACAATTGTTTTTTCGTTTTTGTCTTATAATTTGTCTAACAGTAACTGTCCGGTCTCTAATGTGTTGGTACATCCTGTAAAGTGAGTATTTGTTTGTTACTTATTGATAAATAGATTTAAAACTCCTTACACGTCGGATACACTATGCTATGAACTTATAGTACTGGCAAATGGCGCAATATTGTTTTTGGCAACCCCCTATTATGAAACCCATTTTGTTTGGTAGCCGCAATGCCCTATCTTAAAAACCTACTTCTCAGTCTGTCTATGTCTGTTCGTTTGTTAACTGTGTGGTTGGTGTTAGTGATATGGCATATTTCAAGGAATGGAAGTGTTGATGATTTGTAGCTATGGTCTATGATTTGTGTATTATCTAGATTGAATCTGTGGTTGGTTTCTATACAATGTTGGATCAGGGCGGTAGTGGTTTCTATGAGTGTTGCTGTAGCTGCTTCGGTAATGGTGTGGTTATCGTTCATCAGTTTTTTCTAATTTGTTCACATTTGTTCTGTGTCCTGTTAGTCTTCTGCGTAAATTGTTTCTCGTCATTCCTATGTAGCTGCTATCACAATTATGGCATGGAATTTTATAAATTACATTACTAATTTCCTCTTTACTTACAGGGTACAGTCAAGAATCCTATAGTACGGTTAATAGGGACCGCACTATGGGAACCGGCATTAACGAATACACGTAGCATATGGGATTAGAGCTAATTGGGACCAAACACTGATTGTCGGGCAATTTGAAGAGATAACTTCCTGATGTCTTCTGAGAAGTTGTTAAGCAGAATGTTGGTAGGACACAAGTTTGATCCTGTGGAAGATCCGGAATATCCGTAAAAGTGGTCAATTCATGAAACTGATCCTAGAGCTCCGCGTTTTTTAGAAACCACTCATAAACGTCTTATCAGAATGAATTCGGAGTTGTGACCGAAATATGGACACTGGGGACTACAGGATGGTCCA